AAGTAGGCCCCCCTGGGAGGGCACAGAGCTCAAGCAGTTAAAAGCAAAGCTCCACGCCTCACCAGGGGACCATGGTGATGTTCCTGGACTCCTCTGAGGGGGCCGTGCTGAGCTCTACTCTCATTCAAATCTTCTACCTCGCAGATAGGACCAGTAACTGGACTTTACTCCACTCCCTGCTTGCTGTGGAGAGTGACTGAGAGTTCTGGGCTCTCTCGATTCAGTTGGTGTATTCAGCATCTGTAATAGTGTTGAAGTCCGAAAATGGGGGAAATATATATATTTTTTAACTAATAGCAAAATTTGCTTGTGATGGAGATTTCACATTTGAACCATGACAAAGTTTAAATCTTTTATGAAAAAAAAAACCAAGACAATAAGAATAAATGTTTAAATTGGCTTTTCAAATTTATTTTGTAGAATTTGTCAAATAAGTTTTGAAACCTCATCCGAGCCATCTACTCCAACTAGCCATTGACTCCATGGCTGATAGGGGCTGAGCCACCCAAAAATGATGACAATTGTCCAAAGTGTGTGACTAGCAGGACCCACTGCTTCACATTCACATTTATTCCCGTTGATGTTGACGTGTGCAGGAGGAAGGAAATGTTGACCCCCTGAAGGTTCCATGAGGTTCTAAGAGAGTCGTCACTAAATGCATTTACCTTCCCTATCCTTGCCTGCTTCCATTTCAAGGTCCACCATACAAAAGGAAGATCCCTTAGTATTGTGTCTGTTGTCAGGTATCCATATGTGAGACTCAGAGCAACAAGCCTGTTTTTAACTGAGAAAGCTCCTTCTACTGAACAGGGAAGCTGCCCAAGAAGTAGACAGCAAACTGCAGCTCTTCAAGGAGAACCGCAGGAGGAAGAAGGAGAGGAAGGAGAAGAGGCGGCAGAGGAAGGGGGAGGAATGCAGCCTGCCCGGCCTCACCTGCTTCACACACGACAACAACCACTGGCAGACAGCCCCGTTCTGGAACCGTAAGTCACTTGTTCCAAATGCCGCTTCCTGCCACCATGCGGAGACTTGGCGGCTTGGAACTTAGACTAGTAACTCAGTGGCACAAAACCAGGAATCTAGAAAGGTCAAGAGGAAAGCATCATATTCTCTCTTACGCCTGTGGTCTCCCAGACTCATCTCTTGTTCTCATCAATTCATTCTGTTCCGAGGAGCTAGCGCGATCATGTAATGACGCCCCACTTTCTTAGACTAAAGAGTAAAATCCCTAACATGCCCAACAAAGCCCTGTTTGCCGCTATTCAGTCCCACCCGGGGACCATTTCCTCCCACTCTTGCCTACTTTTGTCACTCAGCTTCTCATTATTCCTCAAGTATCGCAAGCTCCCTCCCACCACAGGACCTTTGCACATGTCACTCCCTCTTCCTTGAAAGCTTTCTCCCCCTATGTCCACCCACAGCCCCGTGCCTATCAAACACCCCTTGTCCTTCACATCTCGACTGCAGCGTCACTGATTCCTTCCCTGTCAGCAAGCTCTACTTTTTCCCCATGGGACTCATCACATTTGCAATTATATGTTTTTTTACCTTTGTTTTAGCTTGACTTTTGTCTCCCCTACTAGATTATAAACTTCTCAAGAGACCATGTCTGTGTGATACTGTATTCCTCCACACAAAGGAAATGCTTAGTCAACATTAGGTGAATAAATAAACAGACAAACAAGCAAACCACCTCATCCAAGATCAAACCAACTCATGTCAATTTAAAGAACTTCTGGGTGCCTGACACTGAGTGTCACTGCACTGGCAATGTGAGGACCATACCTGCCATCACTGAGCTCTTAACAGGGACTTGCTCTCATTCAATACCAAATTTAATGCTTTTTCTAGGACAGAATGTATTCTTGGTGCTCACTGGGCTGATATTCTAGGACAGTGGTTTTCTGAAATTTTTTCAAAACAAACTACAGTTAAAAAAAAAATGCATTTTATGAGGATCCCATATGCATATGTGCACATAGACATCTATGTGTATCTGTGTGTACATATAATATATATCTTGAAATAAACATTTCAAAAAACACTATATGTGATATCCCTTGATATAGTTCTCTATTGTATTTCATATTTTAATGATATTAATCCTATATTCCTCATATTTGCATGTCAATTTAAGCCCTTGGTGTAGTAGTACTCAAGAATGCAAAGAGAAAAGAAAGAAAATCCAGCCAGGCACGTGATCCCCTAATACAATGATTTTTAACATTTTTTAGCATGTGCCCCCTGTCAGTTGTTATAATGAATACTATACTAAAATGTCTGTATATAATAAAAATACTCATAATAGAATTTTAAATTATGAGATAAAGGTAAAGAAAAGGAATTCTTGATGCTGCCAATTATCAGCTATGTGACCTTGGACAAATTACTTAACCTCTCTGTGCCTCAGTTTTCCCACCTGTTAAAATGACAGTGATAATAATCTCCATCTCAGAGATTGTTTTGAGGATCAAATGAGCTAATACAGTACATACAAAGTACATAGTGCACAAGAAATACTCATTAAGTACCTATCCTAATTTTAAAAGATATTCGCTAGACAGCATGTTTGTGAAATTCAATTATTTCAGGAAAGGTCAACATATCTGGAACCTTTGCCTTTTTGCAAGTAGAAGAGAAGATGATTTTGGATTTGTTTGTAAATTTGACATTACTTTTTTTTTTGAGTTGGAGTCTCACTCGGTCCCCCAGACTGGAGTGCAGTGGCTGCTCCCGGCCACCGCAGCCTCGACCTGCTGGGCTCCGGCGATCCTTCTGCCTCAGCCTTCTGAGTAGCCGGAATTACAGGCATGTGCTACTACGCCCGGCTAATTTTTTGATTTATTGTAGAGATGAGGTCTCCCCAAGTTGCCCAGGCAGGTCTCGAACCCACAGGCTCAGGCAATCCACTCATCTCAGCCTCCCAAGGCACGGGATTACAGGCTGAGCCACCAAGCCCGGCTTGACATTACTTTTGACAAGTTAACCAGGGAGCTAGCTCTGCATGGTACAAAAGACAATCTTGGTCCCACGCAGCTCAGGTTAAAATACCGTGGAGATCATCCCAAATCCACTAAGTGGGGCGGGCACACGCCTTCTCCAAACCCTCCATACTGGAGTTCCATCCTTTCAGACTCCATTTGTGGCACGTGACCATCTTCCATACAGAACAAGCAAGGGCACCTGTTCCATCTCTTTATTAAATAACCACTTTCTTTTTTGAAGAATAGAAATCATCAGCAGAAATTTTTATCTTCCCCTACTCCACTCACTCATCCCACTCTAGAAACCACTGCCTCGTAGAACTAAGAGGAGGTTAAACTGCTGTGCCTAACCTTTTCGGGCTCAGGTGAAGTCTTTCCATTTTCACCTGGTTTCACAGCAAATCTGTATTGAGAGAAAGGAGAAAAAAGTATCGTCATCCTTAACATTGAACCACGGTATCTATAAGAAAGAAAATGTATTAAACCTTAAAATGGAAAGAGAAGGGAATGCTGGAATGACTAGCCCGCTTGCAGTTTTGCACTCTATTTTGTTTTGTTTTTCTTCTTTACCCTACAGTGGGATCTTTCTGTGCCTGCACAAGTTCTAACAATAACACCTACTGGTGTTTGCGTACAGTTAATGAGACACACAATTTTCTTTTCTGCGAGTTCGCTACTGGCTTTCTGGAGTATTTTGATATGAATACAGATCCGTATCAGGTAAGACAGTATGTATTCATTTTAGAAGGTTGTTGAAAACAGGCTGATCAAAACCTGAGCTTAAATATATTGTCCTGCTGTCTTCATTCCCAGCTCACAAATACAGTGCACACGGTCGAACGGGGCATTCTGAATCAGCTCCACGTACAACTGATGGAGCTCAGAAGTTGTCAAGGGTATAAGCAGTGCAACCCAAGACCTAAGAACCTTGAAGCTGGTAAGGACAAAAATATTATTTTTTTCTGTATTACCTGGAAAGTTCTTTGTGTGACCAAGTTTTCTGCCTTGAAAACATTTATATGCATAGAAACATTAGTTCAGGGGAATTAGAAACTTACCAGGCAATTACAAACATAATGTGATCTTTAAGAGCAGCCTTGGGTATGCTCATGAAAAACTTAATCCACCAAAAATTTTGGTGAGCATTTCCTTCCAATCTCTCCCACAGGTCTGTTCTATTAATATTAGTAAAACTTGATACCTGATAGAAGCATCTATTGGAAGATGAGATGTAAGCTTTGGGGATTTATTTGTTATTGCTGTCAACAGTCATGAGATATATTCTCAGTAAACCAGGATATCCTCTTTTTTTAAGAGAACTTAGATGGAAACACACCATGCTCTATTTCTGTTTGTCCCAGGTTGGCGATCTCCCAGTTGGATCCTGTCCATGACACAGTGGATTGGATTTTCTTTCTTTCTTTTTTTGTTTTGCCATATGTCCCATCTGAAACGAGAAATATTTGCATAGTTCACTAACTTGGGATCTAACAGTATAAGAGGGTCTGTATGGAATCAACCAGATGTTTCTTCCCTGCTCTGCAGTGTTAAGCTAACTTGCTTCTCCTTTGGTTCATGGGTATGTAGTTCTTTTTGGTGTCAGTCCCATCTCTTCCCTGGTTAATAAGAATACTCCTTTTCTCCCCATAATTCCTGCAGAAATTTAAATACCAGATGTTTATACAAAGAAAGCAGAATGAATTTAAGCTGGCAGTGGGGTGGGCATGCTAACCCCAAAAGGGTGAAGAGCTGGACTTGAAGACTTTCAGGAGCAGTTTGCATGAGCTCTTTGTCATGCAGCTGAGTTTTCTCAATACCTTTAACAGCCTGTGTCTCTGTGGGTGCAATGCAGAGCCAGCATCACCAGCAAAAAAGTGGGCAGCTCTCTGGGTCATGTGACTTGAAGGCGGGTAGAATCCCATCCCTATTCCCATCCCATCCTCAAATGATCAACATCACTGCTTGTCATTTCCACCATCATAGGATTTTGAGCTCTGGGAGTCCCATAAGAAAATGTAAACCCTCAGTTCTCAATCACTTCTCAGTTAGCCCTTAGTGGAGTTAGCTACCATTCAAGAAAGGACTGAACTTACAAAATAGGTCTTTTGGTTACTGACCCCACTCAGCTCAAATCGTTTCAATTATCCTGCTTATCTGTTGACCTTTTCCTCAAACTTTAATCTGCTCCTCCACCAAAAAACAAGAAGAAGAAGAAGAAAAAACGAAGAAAGAAAGAAACAGTCCATAGTGACCTGGAATCTAAATGAACTATTAGAGGCAATATTACACTCAGATATTTCTTTCCAAAAGAACATAGCACTTTTATTGGTGATGACATAACAACTCTACTTAGTGAAATCTGATAGAGTTTCTTAATGGTGAAATGACACACCAGTTATACTGTTACGCTTCAAGTAGTCCTCTCCGCCTTGTAGACTGTTCCTAGAAGAGATTATTATTGGCCCATTTTTTAAGCATTTTGTCTAAAATTAACCAACGTTTAACTTACTGAGAAGTACAAAGACTTCTGAAAGTACTTTTGTCACCTCTTTTTTAAGAGGGCTCTTCTCCCTTTCTTCTCCCACCCATTTTTCTTCATATGAACTCTTATTTTTTTTATTTTGAACCTTTTCAGTTATAGCTTTCGGTCCTCATTTTGAACCTAATAGAAAATCTCCGTTGGATTTCAGCACTGTCTGTATTTAACACCATGTGTTTCTTTCTAGGGTTTAGCTGTTGTGCATGGAAAACTACATAGTGAGTGGTTTTGTAAATTCTAAAGCTAACATAAATTACTCTTATATTTTCCTACATCAGGAAATAAAGATGGAGGAAGCTATGACCTACACAGGTATTCACACTTTTTTATTCTCCTCGGCAGCATCTTTCCCAATAATTGCATGATCCGGTCATTTCAACTAATTTCTGTTTCTTACCATGTTGCACAGAGCACAGCTTGGGGTGCATGCTTGTCCTAACCGCATTCTCTACCATATTTTGTCATCGGTCACAGATCTGTCATTTTGCTTTTTTAAAATCAGCTCACTGACCCATCAAGATGTCTTGGAGCATTTACTCACTCCCATGCTTGTTTGCTTGTTGGATGATACTTTTAAGCAAAGAATAATGTGAAGGGGGAAAAAAACAGAATGGCCTTTGGGAGCCCTGGGAGAGGTGGAAGGTTTATTTTCTTGACAGTGCTTACATGGTGATTTGGTGGAGGGGCTTCATGGAAATGGGTCAGAGATTTTTGTTAAATATATAACACCTAGCCAGGCTCAGTGGCTCAGCCTATAATCCCGCGCCTTTGGGAGGCTGAGGTGAGTGGATTGCCTGATCCCGCGGGTTCAAGACCCGCCTGGGCAGCTTGGCGAGACCTCATCTCTACAATAAATCAAAAAATCAGCTGGGCGTGGTAGCGCGTGCCTGTAATTCCGACTACTAGGAAGGCTGAGGCGGAAGGATCGCCGGAGCCCAGCAGGTCGGGCTGCGGTGGCCGGGAGCGGCGGCCGGGAGCGGCCACTGCACTCCAGTCTGGGCGACCGAGTGAGACTCCAACTCAAAAATATATATATATATATAACACCACAGCCCCAAAAAACTCATGAGAATTTTAAGAACTTGCGAAAGTCAAAGTTGGAGGAAACAGAAGAAACGTCCTTGCTAATGGTCATTAATTAACTAGTAGCGAAAGCAGCAACCATATGCAAGATTCAGAAGGCTCTGCCAGCAGGGCAGTGACTACAGAGAAGATGCTGGGGACTGGAGACAGGGTATCTGGAGTCCAAACTCAGAAAGTCTCCACATAGCTCTGAGACAATAGTGCCGGACACACAAAAACTGCATCAACAAGCCTCATCCCCGTCATCTTACCCCGCTCGGACCCCCATCCATCCCTCCTACCTCACCGTTGTCTGGAGAGGGGCCCAGACACCTGGTGGCCTTGTCACTTGGTCACCCAGAAACATCAGTCATTGCTAATTTTCTACTCCAAGCATAGACCTCAGGCAGTCTGTCAGGAACATGGCCTTTGAGGCAGGTGGGGACTGTCCGTACCATCTCTGCTGAGGGAAAACTAAAGCCAGGATGTATCAGTTCTCTAGTTAATGAATCTTCTTGAGAGGAAAAGCCCATCAGTGAAACATGTACTTAATTAGTACCATCCATATTAATATCTTCTCAGAAAAAAAAAAATAATACTGTTTCAGGGCACCCTGTTCAGCCTGCTACCACCTCCAGAGTTCTGGTCACAGATTGTTCCTTTTAGAGGGCAGCTCATTAGTCCAACAAAAAACTAAATGACAAAAGGAAAAATGGTAGGAAAGATGTAAACAAACAAAATAAAGGAAGCTGGACTTTTTTTTTGAGTCAAGGTCTCACTCTATTGTCTAGGCTGGAGTGATCATGGCTCACTACAGCCTCGACCTGCTGGGCTCAGAGGATCCTTTCACCTCAGCTTCCCGAGTACCTGGGACTATAGACATGTGCCACCACACCCAGCTTATTTTTTTTGTAGAGATGAGGTCTCGCTATGTGGCCTAGGATGGTCTCGAACTTCTGGGCTCAAGCAGTACTCTCACCTTGGCCTCCCAGAGTGCTGGGATTACAGGTATGAGCCAAAGTGCTCAGCCAGAAGCTAGGCTTCTGAGAATATGTTATTGCTATTTATACCTCTCTCTGTTTTTTTCTTCATTTTTTTTTTTCTTTTTTCTTCTTTCCTTTCCTCTATGTGCCCTCTCATCAACTCTGTGTCACACCAACACACATAAGATGGAGTAGAGGAACCCACTCTTAAACTGGTTCTCTTGAGGTATAGGCTGACAAGGCCACCTCCCACATACCAAAACTATGTCTGCCTCCCATGAGTCGCTTTCAAATATTTCCGAAGTATAGCATGAAAAATGGACATGACACTAAATATTGACATTACAGTTATTTTAAGAGGCACTTGATTTACAGCTAAGGGATTTTCATTCTAGTGTCCTTTTACTTTTGTCACGAAAGACATTCACAAGTTATTTAAGAAATAAGCCTGTTCAGAGCTGAGTCAGAGAGTCCTTCTCCATGAAATCATCCCTAGACAACTGTGAAAATTTGTAACTGCACTTTGAGTGCAGTTAAATGACAAGCATCTGGGACCTTCCCCTTCTCTGATCCCTGCTATCACCACTCAGTGGCCAAAGAATTGTTTCTGAGGTCATCTTGACATAGTCTTGGCAACTTTTAGTCATTAAAGATTTGTGTACAGGGGCAACATGGTGTTACCTCTTGCTTTTGGTTTTCTGCTAAGCTCTTTACCAAAGGGCAAATCTAAGGATACTTTGTAACTCAAAATAACTGGTATTTCATAATTCAAAAGGCAAGCCATCTTTCAGTTGATATCCATGCTGCAGACAGGAAATCTTGACCCAGAGTTACTAAGAGAACATCTGCCTAGTCACACCTGGGGACTCATTGGACATCCAAATGCAGTGTCTGATTTGGCCTTACTGGCTCATTGTATCTTGTTGGGTTGATGGCAGCAGATGCAAAACAAGCTACCATATGTGCAGAACTTCCAGGAAAAGTGTCAGCTTCTGATGGTGTTACCTAGTTCAAAGTCTTCCACTCATGGAATCACTTATGGAGTCTCAGAGCCTCAATTCTTTCAGATTTCAATGGTTTTAGAAAACTATTAAGATGTATTTTTAATATGAAATCATATTACAGAAGACTTTGAGAGAAATAAAACATGATGATGAGTTTGAAATCTGAAAATTCAACAGAGCATTTCAGAAAATTTATCTTGTACAAGATGGACTAAATAAGTGTTTTCATACTGCCTTCTTTTTGGTGATTTTCAAAAATTAGTCTTCAGGCTTATTTAGAGGGTCTTCAAAAAACAAAGTTGTTTCCTGTTTCTATTCAATGTCTTTCTCTTTCTTTCTTTCTTTCTTTCTTTCTTTCTTTCTTTCTTTCTTTCTTTCTTTCCTTTCCTTTCTTTTCTTTCTTTCTCTTTCATTCTTTTTCTTTTTTTCTGTTTCCTGTGCTTGAGGCAGGGAAAACCGAAATGCTTTGCTTATTCACACTGGTCATTTTCCAGTTAGGACAAGCTCAGAGGAAGGCTACAGCTCAGAAAGTGGCAACCATGTCACAGGAACACATTTGCGGCTTGATTTAAAAGCAATGACTTCTGTGTTGTGAAATAGAGAAGGATCAGCAGGTTGATGGAGTGTTTATTTTTCCCACTGCATATGAAAGCAGATGCTGATGCCCTTTGATGGCCAAGAAGAGCTCCTGGCAGCCTTGGCCATGTGTCCAGTGGCTGCATGAGGCCAACAGTCAGTTACTGGTGTCCTTCCTCTGGCAGGGCTGCTTCCTGATCCTTTGCTCCAAGTCCACTAGGCCACCAGACCACACCAAGCTCCACTCTCAGCAGCCACGCTTGTTCATGTGGCTTTCGCTTGTTTTCATCTTCCCCCAGCAACGATTTGTGGCTGCACAGCACTGGTTATGGATGTGGACACTGGAGCCAGACTTCTTTGAGTTCAAATCCCAGCCCCACTGGCACGCATGCTTAGAGGAGAGACTGGAGGGTGGCAAGTCCCAGTAAGTGGGACTGTTAGTAAAGTATACCGCAGGATACAGAACATTTACGTGAATGAAACAGTATGTGAAAGGGAATGGTAAGAGACATGAATTCCAAAGCATGTCAGTGTATTTTCTAAGAAAGACAAAGATCATCAGCGGCACCACATCCCAACCATCAGTTATCAGGAACCAAGAGTCAAGCACATGAGCCTATTTCCTGAACTGCCTGGACCTCTTGGGATGAGAAGAGAAAAGCAGACCTTCACTGTCCAGCTCTGTGTTGCTCTAATGAAACTTCCCCTGGCTTTCTTCTCCATCACATCCCAGGGACTCCATCTTATTTCTAAGCTGCTTTCCTCGCACTGTTGGACTTTTCTGTTTCAAGTGATCCAACAAGAGATGGGACAAGGGATGGAATTAGAGGAACTGGAGATGAAGTCGGCCTCCGAAGGTGATGAGGACACTTGGGGACAAGGTTGTGAGGGTTTAGGTCAGAGCCAGGGCCACCGTGTACATGGGTTTGTGTCATGGAGGGGCAAGTAGGCACCAAAATTCAGCCAAAATTCTGCTAGGCCTGCAATGAGAACTGGGGGGCGGGGGGTTACTCTGGTCAGAGTTGAGGTCAGACTTGACTTAGTTTAACCACTCAGAAAATGTTCATTGTTCTTTCTTACTTTTTCAACAGTGATTCTACTCCAAGTACCTTGTTTCTTATGCTATAGAAGAAATTAAAGTGTAGCATTGGCAGAATTCCTTAAGATCTGCCTAAGCTGAAGAATGAAATTTACCCTCAATCAGTTTCAATATATAGGAGGAAAACAAAAGGAAAAATGTCATCCTCATTCATCCATTCAACAAATAAATACAGAATCTAAATGGCCATCTCTATGCAACGGTGCTGCTTTCGAGGAGAGTGCAGTCTAGTGTTATGATGCCAGGCAGAGTGCTTTGACAGGGAAAACATGGCGTCGTAAGGGCCCTGGGAGGGACCCTAAGCCAACCCTGAGGAACCAAAAGAATCTTCCCAAGGTGGTTGTATTTATGCCATATCCTGAAGGCAGCACTGGGGTGATCCAGACACAGGATAGTAGAAAGTCAGGCCAACCAAAGAGACAGCTCACACAAAGGCAGAATTTGCATGGGGATTTCAATCCATTCAATGAGAACACAAGGGAAGGAAGAGAGAGGAAAGGGCTGAAAAGGCAGCCAGAGCCTATTCTGTGAAGAGTATTATATGTAGAATAATGATATAATCTATCTTCCAAACAGGGAGGTTTTAAC